CAGGGTACGTCGTGTCGTCGGCGCGTAACTAATAATTCCTGTAAGGAATCTCTGGCACAGTTGTACTTATTCCCAAGATGCACATGGCTAGGCGGCATCACAATCCAAACCACTTGGCATTCGCGTTGTACGACTGAGGCGAACGGAGAAGCGGCGAGAGGCGATGCTGGCAGGGTGGAGCGCTCGCATCTGCCATCCGTGCTGCTCACGCGCTCTAGCACATGTCGGCGTGAGCTCTATCACTGAAGCGCGGTGGGGGCACGATGTTGGTTCCCCGGCAAGGAGAGCCGGGGTGCCCCGTGGGGGCCTCGGATCATTGCGAGCCGCGGTCCGACCGCTGCTCAACCTCGTGGCTGGAGGGGGTAGCAGCCAGCGTCGCGTCATCCGTCTCCGTCTCGTCGGCGTGGGAGTGCGGCTGAAAAACTGCGGTCGGGCGCAATTCATGCGGCTTGCACAGCCCCCTCAAATTCGTCGATGACAATCGCGAGGAGTCCGCTCGGAGCCTTCTGCAGTGGGATTCGAACTGCACCTGCGGGCCGCTGGATCTGGATGTCGCCACCGCCGGACAAGATCAGCTCGCGTTGACCCGAGCCCAAGATCGCGCGCATGGGCCCCGTGCTTCGCGGGCTGAGCAGGCCAGGCAAGTCGTTACCCGATCCTCTGACTATGGTGGGTGCCGTGGAGCTGTGGATAATAGTTCTGCCCGGTTCATCCGCGACGGCAAGGGGGGGCGCTCGCCTGATGGCTGCGCTCATGGGCCCCGCTGCCAGCGCCTTGGATGATCTGAGGCTTGCTCGTGAGCACCGTGAGGGGCCGCTACGGCCGGCGCCCTGCCCCCGCAGTTCGGCGGCGCAGCTGGCGCGCGAGCCTCTCGCCGATCAGGTTGGCCCATGCGCCTGGGCCCGCGATGGCACTAGGATCGCCTGCCTGAGGGGGGCCGCGCGCGATTGAGATACGTCCGAGTAGCGCGCTGGCTTGCTGAGCCAATTGGCTGGCCACCAGGGAGGCGCATCGGCCCCGTCGCATTGCGGTGAGCCTTAAGGCGACGGCTGCCCCCAGGCGGGCGCAGGATCACCGAAGGCGATCTCGCCGATCGGCGCGTCTCGCGGCGCGATCAAAACACCGTTAGCGTCGGAGGGCGCGTCCCCATCGCGCGCTTCGCGGTGCGCGGTGTCAGTCTGGGTGCGCGCAACCTCGCCCGCTGCCAGATGCCGCCTACATGTTGAGCATTGTGAAAGGCGTGTTCGGGCCTGATCGCCACGGAATGCATTTTCTACCGCTGGCATCTGGGCGTCGTTCTAGCTAGTGGCGGCCGGGGCGCCGGCGCAGCCCTGATGGGGGCGATGCCCACGTTGGAGAATAACAACAATATCAAGTTTGACGTTGCGGCCCAAACGAATGCCGCACATCTCATCAGCGTCGACTTCAAATCCGGTGAGTTTGGACCCTGTTGACCCCGCGCGAATATCCGACGGTAGAAGCGGCGGCGCGACGGTCGGACCAGCCGCGACCATGTCGATCATCTGTTGGGCACGCTCACGTCGGTGAGCACGCCCTTGTTCCATCTGAGCGTCGCGGTCGGCCTCCAATCTGGCCATCGGAGACAGCCGGGCGGAGATCTCGGGAGCCAGGTCGCGCGCGACGTTGGTCCTGATGGCCGCGGTCGGCACGTCGGCCAGACGCTCATATTCGCGGCGTTCTGTCTGGCAGGGCAGCTCGCGCTAGCTGACCCTGTCGCAGGCGCGAGTTGGCCGAAGCCACCGACGCGGGGAATAGCGGTGCACTCACTGATCATCAGGAACCGCGAGTTGGCCCATCGGAGCGACGGCAGCACCTACGCAGCAGTCCACCGCAGCGCGCTGCCAGAGGGGCGAACTCCGTCGGCAGCAGCCGCCGGCTCCGCGGCGGCGGCGGCCGCGCAAAGGGGGGCGGCTGGGACGGTCCTGAAGTTGGCGTTACAATGTTGAACATCTGCAGTAATGGCAGGACGCGTCGATGCACGCGCGGCGCTGGGCCGTTGTGAGCGAGGCTGGTGACCGCGACGCGTGGGCTGATCCAGGCATCTGCCAGGAGCCGTCGGCGGATGGCTGCGCTGGCGTAGCACTGTGGCTTGGCTGCGGCTGAGGCGGGCTCTCAGTGGGCATGGAGGCATCTTCCGAGATCCCAGCAAGAAGGCCAAAGTCCAGGGCGCTTGCTGCGGGTCCGGAGTCTGGGCGGCCTCCGAACGGGCCGCTGCCTCTGCCCCGCCGTGGCAGCGCGGCGCCTTGCGGGCGCTCGGCACGGAAGTGGCACTCGCCTCCGCAGATGTTCACGCGTCATGGCGGCCCCGCCATGGCCTTGCGGATTGCGGCGTCTGCCGTTTCCCTTGCCTGACGCGCGTTCGCTTTTTTCCTTGTCCCTTTTTCCACCGACGAAAGCCAGATCTACTTGGGCACTTGGAGACTCATAAGGAATGCGCGCTGCTCGGAACCCTTGCCGTTGTGCTTGCCTTTTTTTCAGGAGAGGGCGCTGTTGCTCTTCTTGATTACTCTGCTTAATTACCTTGCGAGGGGGGCGCTGCGTTGGTCTGCGCCGCTGTCCGCGCATCTATTCGGGCAGGGTTGATGCCCTGGAGCTCGGGCGATCGGTCGTTGACCTCTCCGCCTGGGCCCGAGCATGCGTCAAGGGAAGCCCCGCTGTCGCAGTCGGCCCCGCGCGCGCACCCCCCGCCCCGGGAAGCTCGGCGGCGCTGGCAGCCGAGGCGTCGAGACCTTGAGCGCGCCAGGGGCCGCGCGCGTCATTGCCGACGTGTTCGGTCATGCCCGCGAATCCTCCGAACGACGGCAGCGCGCGAAGGGCGCTGGCGATGTTGTTTGGCGCGTGCTCCACGATGCAACCCGCGCGCCTGAGCATAGTCGCGATGCTGTTGAACTCGGCCTCTGCGGCTGGGCATCGGCTGGTGGCTGGCGCGCTTCAAGCGAGCGAGTCCCGTGTCAAGCGGCGGAAGGGATGCGCGGGCGCGCGCTCGGGTCACCACGGGGGCGGCCGGCGGGATGCGCTGGCACCGCGGCCGCCGCCGCCCTGCGGGCCGGCGCCACCATCAGGCATCATGCCCGTGAACCAGAACAGGACGGCCACGGAAAAACGCAAAGATGCTGCCCCCAAACCGATCAGACCTCACAACGATGATGATGGCTGCGTATGCGTCTTGGGACTCGAGCCTGCGCAAGACGAGCGCCATGTCGAAGTGCGGACCAAACGCGACGATGCCGTTGCCAACCACGGTCGAAGCCGAAGTCGGTGAAACTGGTACATTGACCTGCAGTGTGTTCCACTCGGGTGGCGCGATGTGCTCACAAGGACAGCCAGCACTACCGCGCACGTACCGAAGCACGGCGCTAGCCCAGAATGGAGCCTCGAATTCGTGCCCGACGCGAAGTTGCGGCCAATGCCTGTGGGGTTGCGATGGGTCGAAGAATGTCGCGGCGTTCCTGTGGGCGAGTCGCCCCTCATCGCGGTTATGCCTCCTGCTGTTGCCCTCGCAATCCAACCGAATGTCCGATGCGAACTGCCAATTGGATTGCAGAACAGCCATGACAGCAGCCGGCTCAAGGAATGGATGGTGGTACCGATGAGGAAATTAAAATAAGTGCGACTGTGTTCACACCGCGCTCTTCGCGCGTTCCGTGGATCGCGAGCTGGGGTCGCTCCCAGGTCCGCCACCAACTAGAATTGCGGGGGTTGGCACCTGTGAGACAGAAAACATGGCGGCAGCACCATGTAGACCTCGGGGCTTTAACTCTTCACTCAAGAAATGGAAGGTGTCGACGCTCGGGCCACACAGCGGCAGCAATTTATTTGAATGAAGAGGAGGAGGCGGAGGAGGAGGAGGAGGAGGAGGAAGAAAGGAGGAGGAGGGGGAGGAGGAGGAGGAGGAGGAGGAGGAGGAGGAGGAGGAGGTGGAAAAAGAGAAGGTGGGGGAGGACGAAGAGGGCGAGGAGGGAGAGAAGGAACATCACCAGGAGTACCACCGTCGCCAAAATTACATATTTCATTCCAGGCATACAACTTCCCGGACACGATGAACAGCGCGGCTACGAAGGACAGGAGGCCCACCCGTGGAGCCAACCAGAAATTCGGTGGAACAGGAAAAAACGTGATGCCACCAAAAAAAACCTTCCGTCATTAAGATGCGCGTCCCTTCCTGGCCAAACCATCAGGAGCGGATCAGGCGACGCTTGGCGCGCCGCGCGCTGTGACAATTCCGAGGCGGCGAGCGCACTGCCTTCAAATCGCGACGCGCCATTCGGCGTGCCGCCCCGATGAGCCACCGGGGGGGCGCCACACCCTCGGGCGACCGCGCGCCTCCCCGCGCGTGGGGGCGGGGGACCCTGGCCGTGGGAAGGACGGGTGTGGATCCACCATGAGCCGCCCGCAGGGGACCCCCCACCCGCCCAGGCGCACGCGGGGTACGTGCCGGGCCACCGCGAAACGTGGGCAAACAGGGGCGACGATCAGGCTGCGACCCGCCTGTTTTCCTGGGGAGGGCACCCAGTGGCACAGGTGCCGAAGGAGAGAGAAAAGGAGGAGGAAGAGGAGGAGGAGCAGGAGGAGGAGGAGGATGATGAGGAGGAGGAAGAGGAAGAGGAAGAGGAGGAGGAGGAGGAGGAGGAGGAAGAGGAGGAGCAGCAGGACGAGGAGGAAGAAGAGGAGGAGTAGGAATGAAAAGGAGGAGGAAGAGGGGGGAGGAGGAGGACAGAGGGCAGGGAGGTTGAAAGCAGGAGGGCTTGTGAGGAAGGGCGGAGGCCCTTGGATCCGACGTCGCGAACACAAGCTGCAACATCGCAGTGCCACTCGACTGGAGCCTTCTGCCCCACCTTCCTGCAGCAATTCTCCAGCTGGATCGATCTGCGAGGGTCCCGGGGCCCGAAGCCAGGCGAAAACGCCTGGCTTGAAAAATTGCCTGCATCTCTGGGGAGGACGAGGCCGCGCGGCCAGGGAGCGCCCGGCGGTCCCCCGACCGGGGCGGAGCCGATGCGGACGATGTCGTACAGCCACGGGCAGTAGATTAGCATCACCACCACCGTCTCCCACCACACGCCCGACTCGCTGCCTTGGTTCGGAGATTGCCAACGGGGGGGGGAGGAGGAGGAGGAGGAGGAGGAGGAGGAGGAGGAGGAGGAGGAGGAGGAGGAGGAGGAGGAGGAGGAGGAGGAGAGGAGGAGGAGGAGGAGGAGGAGGAGGAGGAGGAGGAGGGAGGAGGGTAGGAGGGGGAGGAGGGGGAGGAGGGGGAAAAGAAGGAGGAGGACGAGGAGGAGGAAGAGGAGGAAGAGGAGGAAGAGGAAGAGGGGGAAGAGAGGAGGACGCCGGACCAGCGCACTGTGAGTAAACCAAAGACGCATCAACGATGCTGAAATAAACCGTCCCTCCAAGCTCCTTCTTCACATGTCCTTACCAGAACTTGTTCTCGTCAGAAAATGCACGATTGAAAGACAACCATCTGATAATTCTTCATCGTGCCAGAACACCACTCTTGGGACTTACCGCCTGGGATCAAGGTGACTGCTGCGTCATGACGTTCCTATATTGTGCCAGAAAAACTGGTCCTGGGATTTCAAAGCCGCGAGTCAATGTGACTGTTGCGACTCGGCAATCCCATATCGTTTGATCTCGCTTCCTCGGCGGCGGTAGCGAAGCCTGCTGGATTGCGACATGGGCTCGCTCTCTTTCTCGCTGCGCAACGTGAACCGCCCGAACCGTCCTTTCGTGAAGGGCTTCCGCCACCGTCTCCTCGGTGATCGACGCAGCCTCTCTGGCCCGTTGCAACTGCTGCTGCATCTGTCTTTCTGTTTCAGCCATCTTTCCTGCCGTGCCCTTTTCTTCCTCCACGATGGCCAACCTAGCTGCTCCTTCAGCCCCTTTCCTATCGCGATCGACTTCCTGCAGGGCAAGCTCAGCTGCCACTGACGTCGCCTGCTGACTCGGGTGCGCCTGCTATGCTATCATCATCAAGCGTTATGTGTCTCTTTGCATATGTTGTAGCTGTGCGTCCTTCTTTCGCTCAAGCGTTTCCAATTGCATCTTCATCTGCGCGACCGCCTGATCATTGAGGAATCCTTCTCTCGCAGCAACCTTCTTCTTGATATTTCAAATATCATGCAATAATTGTTATGAACTGACGCAGACCGAAGCAATCTGGGCAGAACCAGCGGACACCACAGCATTTACACGTGTTAAAGCAAGCTCCACATACAAATCCACCGCAGAGGCCGTTCTCCTTTCTCGCTTTCCCAGTGCAGCGATTCTCAGCCGCCATCGGGCAGTTTGGCCCCAGGGACCAAACGCTCACCAGGAGCGAAAATTCACTGGGGGAGGATTGTCTGGAAGGGCTGCGAGAACCACGGCTGCTTCTCGACCTCATGCGGCCTATCGCAAGCGACCCAAGCTTCGCACGTCTCGCCGGAATGGGAGATGTCGGTGGGGGTACCGTAAAGCTCGCATCCATCCTCCCCTCCCGACAATCCAATATGTTCTAGGTCTCTTGATCTTGATGGATTGAGTCCATCAAGTCAAAGAGCTCGTCATCCACTCCTTCAATATCGCGAAGAATGGGATAGTGAGACACCGTTGCAGGACTCCCGGCCAAACCAGCAATCCGCATCAGCGACGCATCCAAGTCCATACTGATCTCGGATTGGCCCGTCGGTCGTTTTGGAAACGGCGTTTCCCCTGTGGGATCTGTTGCGTGTTTTGGCAAATCAGCTTCACAAGGGCTCAACATGTCAAACGGCGATTGCGAGATTTCTAGATGCTTCGCTATCTGAACCAATCGGCGACGAAATACCTGGGGAATGATTGAACCCCTCTCCGGAACATCGTCCCGTTCGTCTCCCACAGGTTGTTCCGCATCTTTGGAACTTCTGGGTAAACTGGCAGTGCCCCCAGCTACGTCGCGCGACTCTCGTTTTAGCGATGAACTCAACGAACTTATTTCCGACGCGATTAACGCGGACAGTTTTCGGTCTGTTTTCATATCGCGGATGTTTGTGTCTCCTCTACCAAGTCCGCTGACGGGGCTGGGTTTGACTAACTCGGTTCTACCCGGCGCAAGGGAATCCTGCGGGTTTTCATTAGGCAGATGAACTAAGAGCACGTCGGTTGGCATCATCGACTGAATATCCTGGCGTGGCTGTTTTGCCAAGGCGTTATCATGAATTGATCCACAGCTGTCGGCTGGTAACCAGTTGCCTGCCGGAGGCTTAGACGCTTCTGACATGATGGTCGGCATGCTCTTCCCCTACCATCATCAACGGCTCTAGCCCCCCAGCAGGCTGGATCATTGAGCTCGACATGGTTAAGATTCAAAGTCCTGAGCGAACACGTGCATCTAGGTGCCCATCGGTCGGAAGAAGTAGGTAGAAACATGAAGTAGGAAGGCGTTTGAAGTAGATTGGGTGTCCGCCCGCCCCCTGAAGAGGGCGGAACAGGTGAAGCCACCCGATCCTTGAAGCAGCGCGCCGAGAGTGGATTGGAACCTGGGCATCCACAAATACCTACTTTCAACGGCCGGTGGGTACACCCTGCGAAATGCTCAAGAAATCATGGGTTAAGAAATTCATAGTCTCAGAACTTGAACAAAAACCCAACATGTCTGCTAAAATCTTAAGATTTACATTGAAACGTTAAGAATAATCGAGACTCTGGCCGAAAACTTAAGTTTTCTTAAGCATCGCCTGAGGTGTACGTGCAGGCCGGGGAACCATGGGGAACCGGCCAGCCGGAGGCGCGCCCCTCCTCCACCGACCTGCTGACATACACTCCTGAGGGGCAACGATAGGGGGGTATAGGGATAGGGGGGGGGGGGGGGAACATCGACCTGGAATCGGCGACACATCGGCGATAGGCCCCCGATAGTGAACCGCACCTTCCCGGGGAGGTTGGGGCTATTGGGCCCCTATCGGCGATCAATGGGCGATTGGGGGTCGATGCATCCCCCCCTATGTCTACAGTCAAAAACCCTAATAAGGACGCGCGGTAAGGACGCAAGAACCTTGGAAGCCGAAGTTGGGATTTTTGGGGCGGCGGACGACGAAAACCCCAAGGACGCAAGAGCAAGGAAGAGCAAGGACGCAAGGGCACCCTGAGCAAAGCCGCGTGTCTTTATCAGGGTTTTTGACTGTATTGGGCCCCTATCGGCGATCAATAGGCGATTGGGGGTCGATGCATCCCCCCTATGCCTATCCCCCCCTATCAGGGGTCGAGGCATCCCCCCTACACCCTGCGAAATGCTTAAGAAATCATGGGTTAAGAAATTCAGAGTCTCAGAACTTGAATAAAAACCCAAAATTCCCATTCAAACCTTAGGATTTACCTTGAAACATTAAGAATAATCGAGACTCTGGCCGAAAATTTAAGCTTTCTTAAGCATCGCCTAAGGTGTATGCCTATCCCCCCCTACCGTTGCCCCTGGACTCCTGCGGCGCACGCGCGGACCAGCGGCCGTGTGCCTGGCGCCTCGCGACGGCGGCGGGCGACGGCGAGAAAGCAGCCGCGAACGGGGTCTCGACGAACGGCCTCCTCCTCCTCCTCCTCCTCCTCCTCCCTCCTCCTCCTCCTCCTCCTCCTTCCTCCCTCCTCCTCCTCCTCCTCCTCCTCCTCCTCCTACTCCTCCTCCTCCTCCTCCTCCTCCTCCTCCTCTACTCCTCCTCCTCCTCCTCCTCCTCCTCCTCCTCCTCCTCCTCCTCCTCCTCCTCCTCCCTCCTCCCTCCTCCTCCTCCGCCTCCATCCTCCTCCTCCTCCGCCCTCCTCCTCCCCCTCGCCCTCTCCCTCCTCCTCCTCCTCCTCCTCCTCCTCCTCCTCCTCCTCCTCCTCCGCCTCCTGCACTAGAAGGCCGAGCAAAAACGAGAACGAGGGACGGGCAGCGGCATCGGCTCCGACTGCCGCCCCCGGCCCCCCGCTCCCCGGCCGCTGGTGCCTCGCGCCGCTCGAGGTCGTGAGCGCTCGTGCGAACGACGAGAAGGAGGAGGAGGAGGAGGAGGAGGAGGAGGAGGAGGAGGAGGAGGAGGAGGAGGAGGAGGAGGAGGAGGAGGAGGACCTGCGAGAGGCGACATTTGGACATTTGGAGGCCTGGCGATGGGCACCAACACCAACACAGGGGGTTGCCTCCACAGGGGGAAGATGATCCCAGAGTTCGGTGTTGGTGGTAATATTTCGGTCACCTTGGAAGCCAGAATGTTACCACCATCACCGAGATCGGCTTCTTCTTCTCTCGGTGGAGGCGCACCGCCGATATTGGTGTTGGTGTCAACCTCTAGGCCTGCGAGACATAGCGACCTTGCGCGGCGGCTTACGCAGGCCGCCAGCGCGGAACGTCGTACTGGAAACGAGGAACGAGGACGATTCCGCGCGACCTTCCGCGGGCAGCTTGCGCGCGAAAGTCCTTGCTTCTGGGCCACCGGCAACGTTCAACCGTGGGCGCCAACAGCGGGGTCGCCGCGGCGTAGATGCGACAAGAACCTACCGCGACTGCAGCCCAAGGCGCTGACATAAGGAACCACTTTGGGCTTAGAAGGGAGTCGGGTCTTCGGGCCGTTCCCCAGGCCTAGGTTCAGGTAGGGCATGTCCTCCTGTAGGCGGGGATCTTGGACGAGAAATTGGAAATAGTGGAAAAATGTTCAAGCATAGTCCGACAGAAGTCGGGAAAATCGTCTCCAGACTATGATCAGAGAATGGATGGATTCGGTTTGTGTTCGGGATTCGGTGTTCTGCTACGTACGGGGCCAACGGGACCAGGCGGACAGCGACGACGACGACGACGACGACGACGACGACGACGACGACGAGGGCGACGAGGGCGAGGGCGATGACGACGAGGGCGACGAGGACGACGACGAGTGCGACGAGGGCGGCGACGACGAGGGCGACGACGACGACGGCGACGAGGGCGGCGACGAAGACGACGACGACGACGAGGACGAGGGCGACGACGACGACGAGGGCGACGAAGACATTGCCTGGACTGCTTTTGAGCACTCCTTCTGCAGGGGGCACCTGCTCGTGGACGAGGCCCGCCGCGGCCGGGCGAGGCACCTCTGAAGGGGGCCCGGGGCCGCAGAAATCAATGCACGCACAGATAAGAGGATTCCCCATATTCAATGCACGCACAGGCAATGTTTCCAGCTATGCTTCTACACATCGCTGTTAGGTTGCTTTGCCGGATAATTTGCCTGACAGCGAAGACTGACAGGTTTCTAATGGGGTCAAAAGAGAGCATCTGATGACTCCCCAGGGGGGTCTGGGCGGGAGCCGGACAGGCGAGAACCGGGCTGGTTTTAAGCAAACAGTCACACACTTCGTGCTCTTCGACCTCCCATATTTTCTGGGTTTTCGTCTCCCCCCCCCCACTGCCCCTGCTTTCCCAGATGTTCCTGGGGCGCACAAATCGATACACACAAGTACAAAGACAAGAGGATTCCGCATACTTCCCCACACCTTTTCTGGCTCCTCGTCTTCCCCCCACTGCCCCTATTTTCCCATATTTTCTCCTGGGAGTCGGCGATTATAATTGTGTCTGCGTGTTTCTTTCCCCTCCTGAGCCTTGTATTACAGTCAAAACGTGTATTAAGGACGGGTGGTAAGGTCGCAAGACCCTTGGAGGCCGAAGTTGTTTTTTAAGGGCGGCGGGCGACCAGTGATAATGGCAAGGACGGGCCTCAGAGGCAAGGACACAAGGGTACCCTAATTATATGAAGGCGCGCGTCCTTACTAGGCGCGTTGACTGTAAGAGGATTCCCCATATTTCCCTATCTTTTCTGGACTTTCGATTTCCCTCCCACGGCCCCTATTTTCCCACATTTTCTCCTGGGAGTCGACGATTATAATTGTGTCTGCGTGTTTCTTTCCCCTCCTGAACCTTGGCTCCTTCCCTGGCGCTTCTCCTGGCAGCGCGGTTGCTGCAGGCCACCTGGCTTCGTGCACCGCTCCGCGCGGGGCGCGGCGCGCGGCCATCTCTCGGGGGCGCGCAAGCATGGATTAGCGATCTGTGGAGTTGGCGCGCGGTCGCCAGATCCGTGGATCGGGGGAGGCGCCCTCCCCCAAAAAGGCGGCTCTGGTGCCGCCTCGAAAAAACGGGGGCGGAGGTCCGCGATGTTTCCCATGGAGGCGGGACCCGTCGCTACTCCACGCCCCCTGGATCCATGTTTGTCTCCTCCTCCTCCTCCTCCTCCTCCTCCTCCTCCTCCTCCGCCTCCTCCTCCTCCTCCGCCCCCTTGATCCATGCTTGCGCTCGCCCGACTCTTCGCGCCCCCGCACCGCTGGCCTGCAGGCGGTCGGCCGCTCTGGCTGCCCCTGGGCTCGCGAGCTGTCCGGGTGTGCTCGGGCGCCTCGGGGCCTGCCTCGGCTCGCGCCGAGCCGCGCCGCGGTGCGCACAGCCCGACCGGCTGGACCCCTGCAGGTCGACGGGAGGAGAGCCATCCCCTGACGTGCGAAATCTTGGGTGGTCCATAGTCGGGCGTTGGCAGAACTGGGTTTCGTGGGACCTGGTTTCGTGATCTGTACCGGGGACGCCCCCCCCCCGTCCCATTCCACTCACCGGAATTGCCGTCACCCGAAAAAGCACCAGCTGCGGCAGACCTAAGCCAGTGACTCCAATCCATATTTTGGGCTTCGGGGCTCAATCACTAACCGGCTCCCCTTAACCGGGGTCCTGGCTACACCCGACATAATTGGACGAGCGCGTTCCACGATTCGCAAGGTAGTTGCTCGCAAATGGCCTGGATCCCCCGCGGGGGATCCACGATAAACTCCATCAAAGCAGACGTGTGTTTTTCGGACGTTTGTGAGTAGGCAGTTTGCGAGTAGTAGAACGCGCTCGGTGAATGATTGTTCGATGCGCGGTCCCCGAAAATCCTGGACGTTGTGAGAAGGTCTGAGAGCCTAGCAAGGGCTCCCAAACGTCGACAACGGCTAAAAACCTCGCGCCGTGCTTGTTCGCGACGCAGCCCCTGCCGGCGGGGCCGGCCGCGCCACACGCTCCGGGTGTGACCCGTCCCCCTGACTATTTTTGAATATTCCCCCTGTAGATGGGACAGGCCCGAACCTGAGCGTCCCTCGCTCCTCCTCCATTTTCCTCGCCTTGTGGCCCACTTCGCTCCAGCGGTGCCCCCGTTCAGGTAGCTCTCCCGCGCCGGCGCAGTTGCTCTGCCTAGCCGCCGACGCAGAAAAACTCTGAGGGCGTCCAAGAGGGGGGCACCCAAGAGGTGTGTGTGTGTGTGTGTGTGCAGCAAATCATGGCCCGAGGCATGTGCGCTGACCAAGGAGGGCCAGGGAACGCATTGAAGTCAGAAGTGGCGCCACGGAATCTGGGGAGAGATCACGGCCCCCGCCATGAGATCCCCCCCCCCTAGTCATCACCCCCTCTTGGCCGCCCCCGGAAGGAGGGGGAGGAGGAGGAGGGGGGGGAGAAGGAGGAGGAGGAGGAGGAGGAGGAGGAGGAGGAGGGGAGGAGGAGAGGAGAAGGAGGAGTAGGAGGAGAGGAGTAGGAGGGAGGAGGAGGAAGGAGGCGGAGGCGGGAGGAGGAGGAGGAGGAGGAGGAGGAGGAGGCGGGAGGGGGAGAGGGGGAGGAGGAGGAGGAGGAGGAGGGAGGAGGAGGACGAGAGAGGAGGAGGAGGAGGAGGAGGGGAGGAGGACGAGGAGGAGGAGGAGGAGGAGGAGGAGGAGGCTGCTTCGCGACGCGAGCATGTCCGGGCCGGCAAGCCCTCGGGGGGCACGCGGGGGGACATCCGGGCACCTGACAGGCCGCCCGCCCCGGGCCCCGCCGCTTGTCGGGAGGTCCTCGGACGGGCGAGCGTCGCCGTCGTCGTCGCCGCCGCCGCCGCCGCTGTCGTGCCGAGGCCACGTCGCGGAGTAGGCGGTAGACTGCCTCGACGGCGCGGCAGCGCTCGAAGCCTCCCTGGAGGATCGGCGAACGACTGGGCGCTGGCACTCAGCGTGCCAAGATGTCCTCCGACCTCCTCTGCTCCTCTCCATTATCCCTCATCTTCGCTCCCTCCGTCCTTATCCCTCCTGCTCGTCGAGCGTGATGGTGAGCCTCCCGCCCCCTCCTCCTCCTCACCATCCCCCTCCTCCTCCTCCTCCTCCTCCTCCTCATTCCTCCTCCTCCTCCCTCCTCCTGCTCCTCCTCCTACTCGTCACCGTAATTACCCTCCTCCTCCTCCTCCTCCTCCTCCTCCTCCTCGTCCTCATCATCATCATCATCATCATCATCATCATCATCATCATCATCATCATCAACAACAACATCCCCATAATCATATCATCCGCATCATCACAATCATCATCACAACCAACATCAACATCATCATCATCACCATCATTATCATCAGCATCATCATCATCAGCATCATCATCAGCATCAGCATAAGCATCACCAGCATCATCATCGTAATCATCATCATCATCATCATCATCATCATCATCATCATCCTCATCCTCATCCTCATCCTCATCATCATCATGACCATCATCAGCATCAGCATCATCATCATCATCATCACCGTCATCATCATCATAACCATCACACTCACCATCACCATCACCATCACAGTCATCACCACCACCTCCACCATCACCATCATGATCATTATCATGATAATCATTATGAGCATGCTGAACATGCTGATCATGCTCATCGTCATCATCATCATCATCATCATCATCATCATCATCATCATCGTCATGATCATCATCAGCAGCAGCAGCCGCAGCAGCAACAACATCAACGTCGTCGGCGGCGGCGTCATTGTCCACGTCGTAGTCCACGTCATCATCATCACCATCATCAGCATCAGCACCAGCATCACCACCACCATCATCATCTGCATCACAATGTCCATGAGCATAACCATCATCATCATCATCATCATCATCATCATCCTCCTCATCCTCATCATCATCATCATGACCATCATCAGCATCAGCATCATCATCATCATCATCATCATCATCACCGTCATCATCATCATCATAACCATCACACTCACCATCACCATCACCATCACAGTCATCACCACCACCTCCACCATCACCATCATGATCATTATCATGATAATCATTATGAGCATGCTGAACATGCTGATCATGCTCATCGTCATCATCATCATCATCATCATCAGCATCATCATCATCATCCTCACCCGGAACCTTATCCTCCTCCACCTTCTCCTCCTCCTCCTGATCATCATCACCATCATCATCACCATCATCAAAAACATCATCATCATCAGCATAGCATCATCATAAGCATCTCCATCATCCTCCTCATCATCCTCAACATCAGCATCAGCATCATCATCAGCACCACCAGCATCGTGATCATTATCAGCAACAGCATCATAACCATCACAACCACAATCACCATCACCATCACCATCATCCTTATCCTCATCCTCAACCTAAACCTCCTCCACCTCCTCTTCCTCATCCTCATCTTCATCCTCCGCCTCCTAATCATGATCATGGTAATCATCATCAGCAGCATCATCTGCATAATCTCCATCATCAGCATCATCATCACATCACCATCGTCATCGAAACAATCACATCACCATCATCCCCACCATCACGGCATTATTACCACCACCATCACTATTATCATCATCATCATCATCATCATCATCATCATCATCATCATCATCATCATCATCATCATCATCACCATCACCATCACCATCACCATCATCACCACCACCGTCGTCGCCATCGCCGTCGTCATCGTCGTCGTCGTCGCCCCCTTCTCCTTCCTCGTCCCCGACCTCGCCCCCGTCGCCACCCCTGTCCGCCTCCTGCTCCTCCGCTCGGTTCCCCACTTGCTCCCCCGCGGAGGCGGAGGAGGAGGCGGAGGAGGAGGAGTAGGAGGAGGAGGAGGACGAGGAGGAGGAGGAGGAGAGGAGGAGGAGGAGGCGGCCCACCCGGTGCCCGAGGCCACGGCTTGTGAGCCGCATCTGCTCCAGCGGCCGCCTCACGAGGACGACCTGCGCCGCTGCCATTTTCTCCGCGGGGGGGGGGCAGTTGCGTTCCTTACCCCCTCCACCTCCTCATCGGCAGCGCCACCATCATCATCATCATCATCATCATCATCATCATCATCATCATCAGCATCATCATTATCAGCATCATCAGCATCATCAGCAACATCATCATCATCATCATCATCAGCATCAGCATCATCATTATCAGCATCATCAGCAACATCATCAGCATCCAGCATCATCACCATGATCATCGTCGTCGTCGTCGACATCGTCGTCGTTATCATCATCAGCAGCATCAGCATCAGAAAGATCATCATCATCGTCACCACCACCATCATCAGCATCCCCATCAGCATCCCCATCAGTATCGGCATCAGCACCAACATCATCAGCATTATCAGCAGCATCATCATCATCATCAGCATCGTCATGACCATCATAATCGTCATCATCATCGTCATTATCAGCATCATCCTCATCTACACCAACACCATCCAGATCAAGACAAGCATCATCATCATCATCATCATCAGCCTCGTCATCATCATCAGCATCATCATCGTCACCGTAATCGTCATCAGCATCATCATCAGCATTATCATCATGGTCGTGCTCAGGAGCATGATGATCACCATGAGCATCACCATCATCACCACCGCCCCCAGCACCATCATCAGCATCATCAGCATCATCAGCATCATCAGCATCATCATCATCATCATCATCATAACCATCACACTCACCATCACCATCACCATCACAGTCATCACCACCACCTCCACCATCACCATCATGATCATTATCATGATAATCATTATGAGCATGCTGAACATGCTGATCATGCTCATCGTCATCATCATCATC